TATTTGCCTCAGGAGGGGCCATCAAAAATCAAGGAACAAAGTGACGCAATTTGAGCTATGCCTGACATTGCAAACCCAATATGAATAATAACTTTTATGCTATTCTGCTTACCTCCAGAGGATCTATCAAAAATTAAGGAACAAAGTGACGCGATTTAAGTTAGATCTAATTATGTAAACCTAAATGTATACCATATTTCATGATATCCTAAAATTAATTCTAAAGTTGATTCATTATCAGTTAGCAATACTAAAATTTACACCTATGCTTGTTCATACATGTAAATTTTTGAATGTGTATAAGAAAGTCTAAAAGCTCTAGATCAAGTTCTAGTATGCTAATAATTTCTCAATATGCAGTAAACTATTCTTAAGCCATTTCCTTTACATAAAGCTAGGGTCGCTAATTTTTACCTTAGATGTAAAAAAAATTGGGTTAGGTGTAAATTTTTCATATGTCTTAGTACTAGGTGTAAAAAAATCAAAATGCAAAGCTGAAAAAAGGAACCTAGCATGGTTAAATGGCAAGACGCTCAGAATTAGGTGTAAATTTTTCATTTGTCTTAGTACTAGATGTAAAATTTTCAACCTTAATTTGCCTCCTAATAAGTACCTATGACCAGTGATGTGTATTTTATGCTTCCAATGGTAAAAAATTTGATTGGAAGCTTCCAATCCAAATAAATTTATTAATAAATTGTGTTTCCAAACCTTCCAAAAGTACTTCCAATCTTCCAAGTGCACATCACTGCCTATGGCTCTATCCTGAAATCTAGTGTTTCGCACAGATCAGATCAGATCAGATTTGGGCAAAATCTGATTCGATCCAAAAAATCTAAATCCAATTCGATCCAAATTTGACAAATTTGAATCTGAATCCGTATCCTTATCTGACAGATCAAAATTTTTTTTAACAAAAATCTACCTCCGACGTTCAGAACGGCATTTTAATGTTAAAAAAACAACAATTTTGTTGTTTTTTTAATAAAAATCCTGTCTCTGACGTTTGGAACGACGTTTTAATGTTAAAAACAACAATTTTGTTGTTTTTTTAACAAAAATCTGCCTCTGACGTTTGAAAAGGCGTTTTAATGTTAAAAAACAACAATTTTGTTTTTTTTAACAAAATCTGCCTTTGATGTTCAGATCAGCATTTTATTATTAAAAATTAATTTTTTTAATAATAAATATCACGTCTGACTTTTGGGGCGGCATTTTATTAAAATTTAATTTTTTTAATAATAAATATCGCATCTGACTTTTGGGGTAGCATTTTATTATTAAAAATTAATTTTTTTATTAATAAATGCTGCGTCTGACTTTCGGGGCGGCATTTTTATATAAAAAATTAATAAAAATTGATTTTTTTATTAATAAATACCACGTCTGACTTTCAGGGTGGCATTTTTAAATAAAAATTGATTTTTTTATTAATAAATGCTGCATCTGACTTTCGGGGCAGCATTTTTATATAAAAATTAATAAAAATTGATTTTTTTATTAATAAATGCCACGTCTGACTTTTGAGGCGGCATTTTTATATAAAAAATTAATAAAAATTAATTTTTTTATTAATAAATGCCGCCTCTGATTTTCGGAACGGCATTTTATTATTAAAAATCAATAAAATCAATTTTTTAATAATAAATGCCATGTCTGACTTTTGGGCAGAATTTTATTATAAAAATTAAATTTTTTTAATAATAAATACAGTATCATACTTTTGAGCGGCATTTTATTATTAAAAATTAAATTTTTTTAATAATAAATGCCGCCTCTAACTTTCAGGATGGCATTTTGTTATAAAAATTAATTTTTTTATTAATAAATGCTACATCTGACTTTTGGGGCAGCATTTTATTATTAAACATTAATTTTTCTAATAATAAAAGTCTGCCTCTGACTTTTAGGACGGTATTTTGTTATTAAAAATTAATTTTTATTAATTTTTTATTAATAAATGTCACATTTGACTTTCAGGACGGCATTTTGTTATTAAAAATTAATAAAAATTAATTTTTTAATAATAAATACTGTGTCTGACTTTCGGGCAGCATTTTTTATTTCAAATCCAACAAATCAGATCTGAATCCAAATCTGAATCTGACAGATCGAATTTGAATCCAAATCTGAATCTGTCAGATCGAATCAAATCCAAATCCAATTCTGATCCAGATTCGACAGATCAAATCAAATTAAAATCCAGATCTGAATCTGATTCGAATCTGATAAATCTGATTTGATTCAATCCGTCAGATCTAGATCAGATTCAGATTGAATCAGATTTTTTGTGAAATACTACTGAAGCCTATTAATATACTGGGTCACATAATAACCACTAGCATATTTTTGACAAAGGCCAGGCTTAGAGCTAGTCAGTTTACCATAAACTGGAGTTAACTATTAAATAATTTATTTTAAACAAAAGTTTTTGTACTATTGATACAAATAACTGAAAGTATATATATATATCTAAAATGATTCCACAATGTTCTCAATGTAGAAAGGATAACTTTAAAAAGTCTCGTGATAGGATAAATCATCTTAATAGGAAGTTTAAGTGTAAATAATTAAATCCTATTCATCGACCAACACATATTCCACCTTATAGACTCAAATTACCTACTCCAATAGTCCATATTCGAGGAAAGGATCGAAGAAAGGAGAAGTCAAAGGTGGTTGACCCTAGTATGGTTAAGCGACAAGACTAAAGATGGTACAGCAATTGATTTCAAATTTACAAAATGTTACAACATAAGCTAAAATTAGTTGCAACATATATAGGTTAAAACTAATTGCAACGTAAGTTGCAACATTAAAAGTTGCAACATATTAATTACAGTTCCCATCTTTAGACAAGATGCTCAGATAGTTAACCTAACTCCTGATTCTGAAGCAGGACCTGGCTCAGCAAGCCAAGCTTTTAGAGAAGGGTTAGCTACCACCTCGCAGGTCAAAGACCAAGAGGGTGACGCTCAGGAGTATGTTTCAGGGGAGCATTTTCAATTAATTTATCATGAAAAAGGGAAACTAAGGCTACAGTGGCATATAAAGTAAAAGAAGTAATAGTTGAGTTTTCCTATGATGAGATAAAATTCTTGGAAAAAAAGCGTGATTCAGCTAGAGTATACCCTTTTCAAAAACATCTAACAACATGGGAAGGGATTGTTCCATCAAACAAAAATCCTGCATATGCTTTTAACAAGTAACAAGATAGTGAAATAGAATATGCAGATGCCTCATACATACCCTAATTAATTATATCAGCACGTAAGCAAATTACAGATGTTCTTAAAGAAGAGCTCAATAGGAAGGATCAAATAAAATCTATAATAGTTGTATATGCAACATATATGAAATACAAATATTTTGGAAGTGGTAATATAACAGATATAAAAAACTATAAAAAGACCTATCACTGTTCATATCATAGAGGAGATCAGTATACACTTCTTTCAGAGAATGATATAGATAAACATATATCAAAATCTGATGGAAAAATCGTGAAAAGATCGAAAAATACTTAAAGGAAGAGTCTAGTAAAATCCTTCTCCAGCTAGAAATAGTACTAATAAAATCTTATATTTATCATCGAGCCACTAGAGGATCCTATGAGTCTACACCCAAGAGGCTTGCTAATAAAAAGTGCACTATCAATCCAGATAATCAAGGTATTATCGATCCAGAAACAAATGCATTATCTGAAAAATGTATCTAAGATGCATTAGGTTGCTATTTTGCAGATCAGGATAGAATTACAGATCATCTAAGAAAACGTATATTTAAAGCAAAAAGTCTTAGAAAATACTTAGATATCGTTAAGCTAGATGGAATTCCCATGTCTACTCCAATTTATTTGTGTATATTTAATAAGATAGAGGAAATGAATCCAGATATCTCCATCAATGTCTGGGAGTGAAATGAAGAAACAGCTACTCCAAAGGCAGTAATTACTAGTAAGAATTACAAAAGACCACATATAATCGATCTCTTAGCCCTTACAGATATTATCAAATCAGAGGATACAGTCAAGTATAGGCAAAAGAATCACTTCCTATGGGTTAAGAATATTAATGGATTAGTATATGGAGATATTATACATAAAGAAAAGAAGTATTTTTGCAGACGTTGTACACATAGTTTTCCCTTAGAAAAATCTTTAGAACATCATCGAATTGTTTCGGGTTAGGAAAGGCAACCCAAAGAGTTAATCTACCAGTGAAAGGAATTAATAATTTTGAGCAGTTCAAAAACTATGGCTGAATGATTAATGCCTTATATGTAATTATAGCTGATTTCAAAGTTGATAATAAGAAGTATGATGAAGTATATAGTGGAAGCATGCATAAGCTTGCCAAACAGAAGGCTAATAGTTTCTGCTACCTAGTTCACTGGATCGATACTGGAGATATATAGGATCCTTTTCTATACAGAGGAGAAAATGCTACATAAGAATTCATTCAGAGAATTGATCAGGAACTGGTTAGTATTGATGAGGTCTTAGCCATTAAAGCTGATCAAATTGAGACTGCTGAAGATAAGAAAAAATTCGCTGAGGCAATTAGCTGTTGGATCTGCAAATACAAGTTTGATATAAATATAGAAGAAATTGAGTGACTAGAAAATAAAATAATCAGTCTTAAAAAGAAACTAGACGCGTTCAAAAAAGGATTTGCAGAAAATAATGGAATCCTAATAATTATTGATAAAGTGACCAAGGCAATTGCTAGTAAAAAGCTAAGGCTAATAAGGTTTTGGATCACTGTCATATCACAGGTAAGTTCTGAGAATCAGCTCATAATACCTGTAATCTCAAACTCCAGATTAAGCCATGGAAAACCCCTATTCCAGTAATCTTCTATAACTTTCAGGGCTATAACTCTCACTTAGTCTGTGAATCTATCGGACAATCTGTCAATGCATATCAGATCAAAGTCATAGCTGAAACTTTTGAGCGATATAAATCCATGAAGGTAGGTCAGCTTAAATATATAGATAGCATGCAGTTTATGAATACTAGCCTGGTAAATCTTACGAAAAACTTGGGTGATAACCATCCAATAACAAGCCAATACTTTAAGAATCAAGGCTATTCAAATAGAAAAATTTCACTAGTATGTCGCAAGGGGGTTTATCCCTATGAATATATCGATTCTCATGATAGGTTTAAGGAAACAAAGCTTCCTCTGATTCATGAATTTCACAGGATTCTAAGTGGTAAGATCTCACAAGATGATTACCATCATGCCCAAAAAGTATGGAACACTTTTGGGTGTAAAAACTTAGGTAAATATCATGATCTCTATCTTAAGACTGATGTACTTAGCCTTGCTGATGTCTGGACAAAGCTTCGAAAAATGCCTATGGAATATGATGGGCTTGATCCTAGTCATTATGTCTCTCTTCTATTATATTCCTAGAACGTTATGCTTAAAATAACCAGAGTAAATATTGAGCTTTTTACAAATATAGATAAGCATGATTTTATAAAAAAAGCTAAATGTGAAGGAATATCTATGGCCTGTCAAAGATACTTCTAAGCCAATAATCCTAAGATAAAAGAAGGCTTTGACCCATCTTAACCAACAACCTGGATTTCATACATTGATGTGACAAACCTTTATGACTGGGCAATGAGTCAGTACTTACCTATTGGAAATTATTAATGGGAAGCTAGTCAGGAATATTTACTTAAGAATCCAGCTATACAAAAGAAATATCTCGATATAGCTCTTAGAATTAAGCCAGATTCAAAATGAGAATGTTTTCTAAACATTAATGCTCATTTTCCTCTAAAAACTCATGACTATTTGAGCGATTTGCCTCCAGCTGTAGAGAATGTTGCTGTAGAAAAAAATATGCTATGTTCATATAATGTTGAGTTTGTAGAGAAATTGGATGGAAGACGCTTCTCAGCAACAAAAAAATTAGTTTCCCATCTTAGATCACGAAAGAATATGTTATTCATTACCTAGAGCTTCAATACTATGTAAAATTAGGTATGGTTGTAGATGAGGTTTTAGAAATCCTATCATTTGACTAAACTAACTGGCTAGTTTTCTATATAACATTTAATACTGAGAAATGTAATGAGGCTAAAAAAGCTAGGAACGCATTTCTGAGTGACTTCTTTAAGCTTAAGAATAATGCAATATTTGGCAAGACTATGGAAAATGTTCACAAGTATCAGGATGTTAAGCTCATGAAGATGAATAATGAGTGGGATGAGAAGGCTTCATAGATAAGATTCGTATGCCATCTTTCAACTATGCTAGATCGCTAGGACCTACATTAGTAGGAACGCATATGGGAAAAGTTAGCGTGACTCTCAACAAGTCTATCATAGTTAGAGCACCTGTTTTAAGTCTTAGCAAACTTCACATGTATAAATTCTGATATGGATATGCGAAAGAAAGATACGGTAACAAGGTTCAGCTAGGTTATATTGAAGGCGTGATCCATGCTGCGCCGATCAACTACAACCAATTATGTGATTTGAAATGTTTGGCCGATCTGACCGATATGACAAATTGGACAAATCTGACAAATATGACATATTGGTCAT